TCTTTGATCTTATTCCAATAAAATTGTGCGAATATGTCTTAAATCTAAATTCTAGGATTACATTTGTAAATTAAATTGATTTTCACGATATATCTTCCGATTAGAGTGTCGGGATGAAAACCTCTAATTATGTTATAAAAATGAATAATTGATATGATTGATCGAATCCAATTGAGGAAATTCCGACGCTTCACTGCGTCGAATTATTGATTTTAATTTCACCTTTCAACATTCAATTTTATTACACATTTGAGAGAACAATTCAGCCTTTTTGATCCTTTAAATATTCTTCCCTCTCCCTGTGAATATGACACCCAAAAGTTGTGCTACAACTACCGCGTTATTTTTTGGGCGTAATCAAGTCGACCCCAAGTTTATTTGAATAAATTTGCCGTAACTTGTAAGCACACATGTATTAAGTTGCAAGATTATATACCCACAATCACAAGCTCATGATGTTGACAAATTTATCTTATGTGNCACAAGCTCAAGATGTTGACAAATTTATCTTATGTGAACATATTGGACCTTATCTAACTAGAGTGATGAATTTGACTAAGTTTTTGTTCAGTCAACCCGAAATTTATTTGAATAAATTTGTTGTAATTTGTAAGCACAAGATCATATACCCACAGTCACAAGCTCATGATGTTGACCAATTTTTCTTATATGAACATATTGGACCTTTATCTAATTTCAGTGATGAATTTGGCGGAGTTTTTGTTTAGTCGACGCCCAAATTTATTTGTTGTAACTTGTAAGCACACATGTATTAAGTTGCAAAATAAGGAAGAATCTGAAGACTTGCGTGTTTTCCTAGCTGTGAATAATATTGATTAAAATTTGCAATTCGTCTCTTCTTAGCATAAGAACTCCCGCTTTCGTGTTCTTCAACACTCGTATTGTGATTAATTTATTATAACATAATCAAGAATTTCTCAGAATATTCAAGTTGGAACAATGTCGCGTTCTGCAGGCTAAAACAAAGTCCTTGACGTGTCGAAACTTACATAGATTTCTTCTTCAATGTTTGTCTATATAAGCATGTTTACATATGAATAAACAGAAGCATTACAGTGTGAAGATTAAACTCGAAAAAGAGAGAATCGTATACGAAAATGGCTTCCCAGGCTGTGAGAAACTCAGTCCTCGTTCTGAGGATTTTTACTCTTCTATTATTAGCTGCTTCTGTTGCACTTATGTTGATCAACAATTTCACGCTTAGTGATGGTTCCAAAGCTAAGTTCTCAGATCTCATTGCTTACAGGTGAAATTAGACACGTCGGAACACTCGACTAGATACAATCTTTTATCTTGCTATTCTTTTTTCAGTATTGTTTAGTACTTTGCTTTCATGCACAAATGCAGGTATGTACTTGCAACTGCACTTACAGGAGTCGCCTACACGCTGATTCAAATTCCTTTCGCAATACACAACGTGGCGAATGAGAAGAGGCTTATACGTAATGGGTTTTTACAAGAATTTGATTTCTACGGAGACAAGGTCCTTAAATGACTCTCACACTCGACTTTTCCTATTAAGAACTTGGTATTTTTTTCCCCATTAATTGCCTTAATGAAAGGGTTTGTTCAAAATTGACAGATTATAGCATTCCTTTTGGCCACTGGAGTTGGTGTTGGTTTCGGTGTAAGTTTTGAGGTAAAGAGATTGATAAACCAAGGTGGGGGCGAAGAAGACGAGGAGACATCGAAAACGAACAAATTCCTCGACAAAGGCAACATTTCGACTGGACTTCTATTCGCTGGATTTGTTTGCATGGCTGTGCTATGCATCCTTTCGTCTTTCCGTCTCTCTATGACCAATAGACGCTTCTTCAAGTAAGAATCAACCTCTTGGAATGAAGATGTTGGGCATGTTTTTTAGTCTCTTTTATTTTTTATTGTATCGCAAAAGTGCCACTTATCGATTCATTGGTGTTTAATTCATGTTTGCTTCCGATAAAATCAAACTTTTGGTAGATTTTGATAATAATTGATGAAATATGTGGTTGAAAAGTTTTAGATTTGGAAATAACAACCCCCATTTTCGAACTTTATTTTTCCTTCTATGCTCAAAATGAATCGAGACTTGGTGGTGGCTCTGGTGGGCTCCATATCCACTCCTAGCCCAATAGCTTCATGGGCCATACTTCATAGTCCGTTTTACACATTTGAGCCATGTGGGCTGTATTTGGTCGTATTATATTCGGCGGGCCTGGATCACATTAAGCCACATTAGGTTTAGTTAAAAAATAGATTTTAAGTAACTTTTGATAAAAGTTTATGAAATATATGGATAAAAATTGTGGTATCCATAAACATGTGATTGAAAATAATTTTAAAGAAAAATAAGCTTTAAGAAATGGAGGTCAAACGAGGTCTAAGGTTAAGCGACACCGTACCTTTAGACAAATTCTCCAATGCTTTTGTTTTGTATAATGTTGATAATTAAAATTCTAATTATGTACCATCGAGAGTAACAAAATTGTAGAAAGAACTTGTAAAATTTATAGAGATTCATCTCGATGTAAAATCATGCCATCATTCGTCGCTACAATAATCAACTATGATGAAAAAAGTTTACAAGATAAAACTCATATGCTTTATTTTCTCTAACCCGTATCAGTCTTTTTGATAATAATCCAAACTTTAACGATGACTCCTTATTTATAAAACAAATTAGGGTAAAATCAAAATTATAAATGCAAAATCTCTAAATTTTCTATACACTCCGCTCATCGACATATGGCTTCCTAAACGATCAACATACGGACTCCACACAACAACGATAATTACACAATGAAGCATATACCTTGTAAATGAATGTGTACTAAGAAATGTAAGTGTAAATGTGTGTAAGAGGGGTGAATAATGACAAGAAAATAAAAATAAGCAAAAGCTATTTTAAAAATAATTAATTATGTAGAAAGATTGAAAAGAATGGTGACATGATGGGAGTTGGATTCTTACACACATGCAGCATCAGAAAGCGAATGTCTTTAGCAATCATCCAACACACCCACCCACCCATCTCTCTCTCTCTCTCCTCTCTCTGGGGAGGTAGAGGTGGCAATGGCTCGGCTATGCACACGAGCCGAGCTCGTGGCTTGTTTATAACGAGCTGAGCTTGTCAATTTTTTTTAAGATAAACATTAAAAAAAGTGGAACTGAGCCCTTACCCCGTTTACTATCTTTTTTTCTTGATAAATCATTTTATTTTTTTCATTCATTTCGTGAAGTTTTCCATTTAAAGTGTTGAATTCTAAAAAGAAATTAAACGGGAAGGAGCTGAGGTACCAGTTACCCGTACATCTCGGAGCGAAGTTATCCGCCTCGTCCCTGACCCGAATACCCAATTAAATGGGTAATCCCCGCTCCGTTCTGGGCGGGGCCTCGCAGATATCGAATTTGTCGAATTTTTTTGCTATCCCCATACGTATAATCTATATACTATGCACGTTGACACTTGAAAATGTTAGTGAGTGGCATTTTCTTGTGACCTAATCTTTAAAAACAATTCATCGACACACATTTATGTATGTATAATATGTATGTATAGCGAGGTAGTGATATCATGTGTGGAGGATGACTTAAGGACCCCACTCCCATTTTGGACCGGCAGCCACCGGACAGGAGGCCACATTTTGCGTGTCCGACCGAACTTTTATTCCTCTAAGATTCTTTAATTTGTCGGTCCTCAAGATTTAAAACTAAAATGTTGAGTCCTCGAAGTATTTTACTCTTGTCATACAAGATATCCCAATGGACTATTTGTTGTAACATGTTAATTTTTTTTAATGATTCTAGCTCCTTTTTTGTGTTTTCATTCTCACTAAATTCGGCAAAAAAAATAGGATATATAATGCAATTAAAGTCTCTGCTTGGTTTACATAAAAATCAGATTTTTAATAAATTTTGAAAAAAATAATAGAATGTGTGGTTGAAAAGTTGTGGATTCTATGAAGTTTGTGGTTAAAATTAATTATTCACTTTGATTTAAATTTTATTTCACTTTTCGAGTTGGACAAAATATAATTAACTTATAAGAAATTATGCTATCTGTTAAGATTTGAAATTCCATCTTAAAAATGTCAACCTTATTAAGAGGAATAACCCAAACTCTTATAAATTGGTTTATATGTTCATCTTTATTCGATACAAGATTTTATCCCTTAATATGCCCCCTCAAGATGGTGACTCGTTTGAGGAGACCAATCTTGAAATCCGGGTGCTCAATTTTTTTGAATCTTAATCGGATCAAATTACTCGTTGGAGTTTAACGAGTTTTAATACAATATTAAGATTTGATGTTCCATATTAAAAAGCCGACCTTATTAGGAGGAGTAACCAAAACTCTTATAAATTCATATATATTTTAATATTTATTTGATATGAGATTTTATTTCTTAACAGTATCAAATATAGTCTTGGTTGATTTTGTTTAGATAAAAGACAATTATACCATTATTTTTACTTAAAATAAAAAAGTAAAAGATAATGAAAAAGAATAATACTCAAGATATTTTTTGTGACTTCAGTATATAATTTGGGGGCTCCATTCTAAATCAATCAATAATCAAAGGCCACTTGCGAAAGAAAACACTCCTGTTCTTGTCACTGTTTTATTGATGCCCCATTTGAGGAAAACTTATTCATTAAATCAGATTTAACGTGTGAATTGTCAATTACATGTCCCAAAATTTTCATTGAAAAGATATATGTTAACGAGTGCATTATGTTGTCTTTTTGAGAAGAGTACTCTGTTATGGCAATTATTGATTACTTTCTTACGAAATTATATTGAGAAAAACTCGTCTAGAAAATTGAAATTCGGCGAACATGAATTTCAATATATCGAATGGTCAAATCTAAGTATTCATTTACCTATACAACGTTATTACAATAATTAGATCGTACTTACTTATTTAACTGGAAAAAATTGAAAACCGAGCAAAAAATCTGGTCTAGTTATAACTGGTTAAATCGGGACAGATGGATAAAAATAATATTTTTAATAGATTTCGATGAAAATTGTAGATTCCATAAAATTTGTTATTGAATTGATTGTTAATTTTAACTTATCAAAATGATAAGCTACACCAAACACGACAGCATCTTTACAACAGTACAAACATGTAATTCCTCGAACTAGGTACATAGGTGGAGACTTAGAGGATGTTTGGTGAGGATTAAAATTAGATTTTTAGTATATTGTGATACAAGTTTTTGAAATGTGTGGTTGAAAAGTTGTGGGACCCATGAAATATATGGTTAATATTAATTGTTTGACTTTGACTTGAATTAAAATATGATTTTAATCCGGACCAAACGGGGGCTTAGATTGTCCTAGCAGTGACTATACAGGAACCTATGTGTAATTACAAAAAAATAGACTCTAATAAGTAATTACTGTAGTTTTACAATGTATGAAAAAATGACAAAAATCAAATGTGTACGTATATATGCAGTTGTCCTGTATTTATGCATGCAAGTTTATTGTATTATTACTATGTTTTGTTTCTATGTGGGGTTTTTTTCTCTTCGGTCCAATAGCTTCCTGATGGGATCAACTTGAAACCAGACCCACGTCACCCACCCCACCGCTACCCCCCCCCCCTATCTCTCTCTTCAAGAGGATGAAGGTTAAGAGAGAGAGAAAAAGCTTATTAAAAAAAAAGCTGAAAGCTTAAAAGCTGGAAGAAGGCTGATTATATAACCGAAAGAAGAAGCCTTTTGTATTATTATTTTTCTTTGCCCCATGGTTGTAGCTGTATATTCTGTCGTCCCCTCATCTATCTTCTACCCCAATTTTTCCATTTGTTTATCGTGTTCGAGTTTCAGAGCTTGAGAGAATTTATTCTGGGTTTTTGGCCTTGTGTTTCATAGAATTACATTATCACTTATCTATAAGCAATTATACATGTTAAGTAGCAATAATCCATCTTCTTCTTCCGAGCCGTTTGCTTCTTCAGAAAATGAAAACAGTAGCAAAAGAAAAAGAAGGCCTGCAGGAACCCCAGGTATATATGTTCATAATTTTCTTGAATTTGCTGGACTTATAGTTACTTCTTCTTTTTTTTTTCGTCTGTGTTATTTAATTAATGGAGCTGTTTTATTGTATATATAACTAGATCCAGATGCAGAAGTTGTATCTCTTTCACCAAAAACCCTACTGGAATCAGATCGATATGTATGTGAGATCTGCAATCAAGGGTTCCAAAGAGATCAAAATTTACAGATGCATAGAAGAAGACACAAAGTACCTTGGAAACTGCTAAAAAGGGAGACACCAATAGCAAAGAAGAGAGTATTCGTGTGCCCCGAGCCTAGCTGTTTGCATCATGACCCTTGCCATGCTTTAGGTGATCTTGTGGGAATCAAAAAACATTTCAGAAGAAAACACAGTAATCATAAACAGTGGGTTTGTGAGAAATGTTCAAAGGGATATGCAGTTCAATCTGATTACAAGGCACATCTCAAAACTTGTGGAACTAGAGGACATTCTTGTGACTGTGGCCGTGTCTTCTCAAGGTTTGTCTTCTCGAAATTCGTCAATCTATGTCGTCTCTTTCTCTAACAACGAGAACTAGTTTATTTTACTAAATTTTGTCTTCAAACGCGCACTCACACTTACCACACCTACACGTTTAAAGTTATTCACAAATGATTTCAAATTTTGGTTGGTCTAAAACTTAATTCGTCGCCAACAGAATTCATATTGAACCAAGACTTTGTTGTATTCAGTGCAGATAGTCAGTTTCCATTTAAATAAGTAATTATAAATATTACTTGTCAAATCAGCTTATAATCAACAAGTCCAAGAAATGCTCAAGGGAAATTTCATAATAAACTAGGTTTTGACTGATTCTAGTTATACTTTTTATATATCCACAGTTCCCAAAATTCAGTCTTAAAGGGTCATTTTTGCTTTATTTTTTCCAGAATGTCTTCACGTATATATTAGTTAAATACTGTTATTTAGTAACAGTGTTTGACTGTATCCTAGAAATCGTCTAATCACCAGTATGATGTGATTAAAACGTTGATCAAAAATTGTTTCTCAACTCGTTTCTTACAGTATAAACAAATACATATCCATGCATGAAAAAAATATACACTTAGGTTGTTTCTGTGTTATATTTTTCAATTTTTTCATAGCAAATTTCATTTTATTGAATATATGTAGTCGCACTTTACTATTTATTAGATCCAGAACAGTTCCTAGCCCGTCTGTGATTTCTTTATTGTCATTAATTATTATGTTTGCTGGTCACATCTTTGAATTTAATTTAACCTCTCTAGTTGTCGTTGTTCTTGTTTAAATGTCAAGATGCTAATGATACGAACTCCTTTTTCTTCTCGTTTAAATCAACGACTTTAATTTGCTTTACTTTTCCACTGCATCAAGAATCATTACATTTATTTGTCATCAATATTATGTACTAGCTAACATTTTGAAATCATTGTTAATTTTAGGGTGGAGAGTTTCATTGAGCACCAAGATTCTTGCAGCATGGGGCGTCTCAGATCGGAATCACACAGTAATTTACAGCCTGCAGCATGTTTATCTCGAACAGCCTCAAGCCCCAGTCCCTCCAGTGACACCAACGTTGCTCCAATGTTTTCTGCACCTCTCTCTTTACCAAATCCAAAAATGGACAACAATTTCTTGAACCCTTCTGCAGGTGATTCCTGTAAAAATTTCATGAATTCCTGGCCACCAAATTTAGAGCTCCAGCTCTTAACCAAAATGGATGAAAATCAGTCAACTCAACTTCAACTCTCTATTGGGTCATCAGAAATCAGTGAAAAAACCGAAATGGATAATGCAAATATTTGCAGTAGTGAGAAGCCAAACATGGCTGTGGCCGCGCCACAATCTAGACGACTGAAAGAACAGACAGAGGAACAGCTAAGGTTGGCCATGACTGAGAAGGCTTATGCAGAACACGCAAGGCAACTGGCCAAGCGACAGATTGAATTGGCAGAACAAGAATTTGCCAATGCAAAAAGAATCAGACAACAAGCACGGGCAGAATTAGAGAAAGCAGTGGCCTTGAAACAACATGCTATAAATCAAATCAATTCAACTACATTACAAGTTACTTGCCATGCTTGTAAGCAGCAGTTTCAAGCTTCACGTACAGTTACGGAAACACTGTCTCCCAGCGGAAATTCACTTGGACTGAGTTACATATCATCTGGTTTAAGAGAATGGGATATCAAGAGAGGTGATCAAACTGATAACTGATCATCTAATTATTAAAGTTTGTTGTATTCAAGATAATTTAGTTTTTGTTTTGTAATCAAGACTTTTAGAGTTTGATTATTGCAAACAATAATGTGAATATGGGGCTTTTGTTTCCCCTCATTTTTCTGTAAAAGAATATGAGGTTTCTTGGTCTTCTTTAAAAATCTCATTTACGGTTTTCTTCTTTATTTTTTCAGTCGAAAACACAATTTAAATAAATATATATCTTTTGTCTTTAATAATTTAAACTTTTAAACAAGTTCGTTAATATCAAAGTTCTAATTTTTAAATAAAGTTCCTGTATGTAAATATTTTAATAAATAAAATAAAATTTTAGCCCCTATTTGAGCCACATTAAAATTTTCATTATCGTTCTTCTGCTCATTTTCAACCATACATTTTTCAATAAAATAATATTTTTCATCATATCAATAACTTTTCCATATTTTTCAACCACACATTCTCCATCAATCTATCATTCCAAAATACTTTCTTCCAAAACAATGTGCTCAAACACCGTCTTGATATAACAACTTAATTCTGGGATGTTCTTGTGTTCGGTAAGAAGGAAAAAAATAATTGTTTTTTGTATTTTAATGAATATATTATGTGGTCTAGTCTCAAACTTTCATAGTGCATAGATTTTCTGTTTGGACCATCTGAAGATCTTTGTTGGCTTAGGTGATAAGAAAATGGAGGTGGCCATTCCTTCCCAGGCATTAAAGGCATAAAATTATGACGCAACGTTTTGAAATCCAGAGAGAGAGGAGAGAGAGAGTCCTTTACTTCTGCTGTTTCTACACTGCAACCATATAAATGTAAATGAAAAGTACCATGGTTTTCAGTGCCACGGATGTAATGGTTGATGGCAGTCTCGTCTCTTTCAACATCTATAACAGCCACACAGACACAAACAAAATTCAATAAAACTCTTATCAGAATCAGTGTTTGGAGTGTGCACAGAAGAACCACAGCATTTTCCCATTTTTGCAGTAACCATTTGCAAAGGAACACTCTCAGAGTTTAAGACAAACTTGAAAATAGACTGTGGGGTTGCTATTAATTTCTTGACTTGACCAAAAGTGAAAAAGGCCAATTAGTCATCAGTTAAAGATTTTCACTCGAGCCCTACTACATGGCTAGGGCCACATTGGTCCTGGCAATGCCAGGGGGCCATGTGCTGAATCTATGATATGCTTAACCTAGTTTGGTGATTACACCAGTAATGTTAGATAATATTAATGTTTTTACTCGAGGGCGGTTGGAGTATACTATTCGACTGATCCAACTAAAAATTTAAACTGTTATAATTTATTGATTTAGATCTTCACCACACATCAAATTTTTTTCCGTTAAAGTTTCGACGCACGAACGGTTTCGTATATAATGAAACATAAACCAGTTTCTTTTCTAATTTTATTATCTATTAAGGGGGTGTTTATTTGAGATTTTTGGGCGAAGAATTGATTTTTGAATAGTGATATGATGCGAAATGTGTGGTTGAAAAAGAAGAAAAAATTATTGATGTGATGGAAAATAATATTTTATTGAAGCATGTGTGGTTGAAAATGAGAATTGATTTACTGTAAAATTTGAAAATCCCAAACAAACAAGCTCTAAATCATTTGATCCCTGTTTGACAGTCATTATTTGAAAAAAAAAATGAGTTTTTAGAATATTAAATTTTTTGAAGAATGTGTAGTTAAAATGTAGGAAATGATTTTAAATTTACGTACAAAATATTTTATTTATGTGGTAAAATACAAATTTAAGAAAAAAAGAGTTATTTTTAACGATTGTCAAACATGGGCAAACTTTCTTCGATAGAAAAGTAACAAATACTCCTCAATGTGCGTATGAAAGCTACATGATAAAACTTGTCAATTTGTTACATACTAATTTTCCAACAACGAGTCATCCTAATTAAGACGAACAAAATTTTGTGAATTCGTTTTATTTTTTTCATTTTCTTGTTTATATTTTTCGACTATATACAGGGGCAGATCTAGAGACGGGCCAGCCTCTGCTACAGCCTGTAATTTTTTTTTTGCATTTTAGCTCGCGTCCATTTTTTTCTGGATCCGCCCCTGACTATATATGCATGTTACATGCCGAACAATGCAACCTTTTTTTCCTCAAAAATCGAAAGAAAAAGGTGAATAGATGGGGCTAAATTAGACATAGAGACGTCCTTAATTACAAAGTTATTCTAGTTTGTGTACATTTACGTGAAATGGAGCATAAAAAACGCATAATTGCACGTTTTGGATCTTTATGTAAAAGGACTTTTTAATCTTTAAGATTNAAAAAAAAAATGAGTTTTTAGAATATTAAATTTTTTGAAGAATGTGTATTTAAAATGTACGAAATGATTTTAAATTTACCTACAAAATATTTTATTTATGTGGTAAAATACAAATTTAAGAAAAAAAGAGTTATTTTTAACGATTGTCAAACATGGGCAAACTTTCTTCGATAGAAAAGTAACAAATACTCCTCAATGTGCGTATGAAAGCTACATGATAAAACTTGTCAATTTGTTACATACTAATTTTCCAACAACGAGTCATCCTAATTAAGACGAACAAAATTTTGTGAATTCGTTTTTTTTTTTTCATTTTCTTGTTTATATTTTTCGACTATATACAGGGGCAGATCTAGGGACGGGTCAGCCTCTGCTACAGCCTGTAATTTTTTTTTTGCATTTTAGCTCGCGTCCATTTTTTTCTGGATCCGCCCCTGACTATATATGCATGTTACATGCCGAACAATGCAACCTTTTTTTCCTCAAAAATCGAAAGAAAAAGGTGAATAGATGGGGCTAAATTAGACATAGAGACGTCCTTAATTACAAAGTTATTCTAGTTTGAGTCCATTTACGTGAAATGGAGCATAAAAAACGCATAATTGCACGTTTTGGATCTTTATGTAAAAGGACTTTTTAATCTTTAAGATTTGATGCTTTGACTTTGGACTCTCTTTGAGAAACTTCTCTTTTTGGACATAAAAGTAATGTCACCCCCACTCACATGCTCTGTTTCCTCACTTATCACTAATCCATCATCCTCTCCCCTCTTAACCCACCCAAGATTCCCAATTTATTGGACCCCATCTTCTTCATACATTCATCATTACCCTTTGTTGCCAATATATTCCTTTATTAACTCGTCCCATCTAACATCTTAAGCTAATTACTCTAGAGACGAATATATCTTCGTATATACAATTTTCATTAAATACATAAAGATGGCATAATTTTTACGAACTAAGTACTTCTACAATTTAAAGAGCTTGCACCCACGATTTTAGTTATAGAAATTTGTCCCCACAACTCTGTAATCCTGACTCTGCTCCTGGACGAGATGATTAAACTGAGAGACTTAGCCGGTACGACATCATGTACAAGGTAAAAAGACTGTGATGCCACTGTCTCTTTTGATCCTCCTTCATAAAGCAGATGTCAATTCATAGAAAGCTTTTTGGCTGTAAATAAGAGCTTTGTTATCTTTACTCTTTCCAGTGTTCATGTGGGTGACAGGTTTACCACTCACAAATCTTTTCTGGGTTTCACTTTTTGTTCGTTTTTCGTTCATACCCTAAGAAAAAAAAAAAGGGCAGGAAATTTTGATGCTTATATGCTCCAAAATCATGACATATTCGAAAAACAGTGTGTCACGTGATCATTATATGTCTCTTATGAAATTTCTTTGGACTGATTTTGTCTTTCATATACACACAAACATATATATTATTTCAAACTGCCAATTGAGTATTTATTATGCTGTACAGAGAAAAAAAAATAATATCCGAAAATATCGAACAGAAAAATAGAAATATTGACAAAAATTTTAATTATATCGCTATCCGTCATGCTTCGTGTCATTACACATTCCGTATAATTATATCGCCATCCGTCAAACTATGATTTATGTGAATATGAGATGATATCCACTACTAGAAGGGACGGGGCAGAAGTCGGAGGAGGCACATGGTGACTAGAAAAGGTCTTCTGCCCAGAAAAAGGTTAACACTTTGCAGCCGAAAAGAAAAAAGAGAAAAGGCTAAGGGACGAAAAGAAGAGAAAAGGAACCCCATGCTCCTTGTTCTAATTAATAGCAAAAAAATTGTAGTTTCAACTCTTTTTTTATTTTTAAAAAAATCTTCCTCGCCAGTCGCCACACCAGAATAAAGCAACCCTAGAGAGAGAGTTAAGAATTGAGATTCCATCTTAAAATGTCAACTTTATTAAGGAGAGTAACCTAATACTTTATAAATTGGTTTATGTTTACATATTTATTCGATGGGGGATTCTATCCCTTAACATGCTTTCGCAAAATGGACCAATCTTAAAATCTGTATGCTCACTTTTGGAGTCTTAACCGAATCAAATTGCTCGTTAAAGTTTAATGGTCTCTGATACCATGTTAAGATTTGTGGTTCTATCTTAAAAGATCAACCTTATTAAGAGAAGTAACCCGATTGTAGTTTCAACTCTTTTTTTATTTAAAAAAATCATCCTCGCCTCCAGAAGAAACAACAATTGGAAGCACAAAGACAAATAAAGGCAATACGAGTTCCATTACTGTGCTTTTGGTTGCAAGTGACAAACTTTAACCTAGACCAACACCATTGTTGCTCTTCAATAATTATCTGTCCTTTTCTTGATTGGCTTATATATGCTCATTATAATTCATATAATTACTTATTTATTAATGTAAAATTATTTTGCCTTTGAGCAGTACTTAGTTTAGTGACTTAAGATTACGTTATAGAGGTAGTATTGGTCACACGAGTTTATGTATCGTCTATATTCACATAAATTGTTGTTCAGTATTGAATTGCGAAACAATAATCATCGACCCCAATTTCTCGTGAGTTTTTTGAATTATCCCATATAATTTTATTTAAGAAACTGTTAATATTGAACACAGCCATTAAGAACATTTAGCTTTATTTTATTTATAAATTTATTTAAGGTTTGTAAAGAGTAGTGGGAGAGGAAATAGCAAGCTATATTAAATTGTACAACAAAGTTGATATGAATTCGAGTAATGCACGTTGTTAAGGTTTTTATAAATTTTGATAAAAATTGATGAAATCTATGATTGAAAAGTTGATAAAAAAAAAAGTGACTTTTACATAATTAAAAAAAAATATATATACTTTTGTAGCTAACCCGAACATGCTCTTGCAGCTGTTTTAGGCTCATTTACATGTTGAAGGTGGGCGACTCGGCCCAGCCCACCTAAGACTAGACTGACATGAGCAAGGCTACCTCATCAACAATTGTTGGCATGACATGTCCATTATCAGCCCAGCCCACGTAGCACCCCATCACTTGTCCATTACCATGGATGGGCTGTATGTCTTGTGTGAATGTCAAAGCCCAGCTTGGAACAGGATTGCTGTACTGGTCTTTTCCTAGATGGGCCGAGCCTACTGTGCTTTTACGACAACTATTTTCCTTCAATCTTCTCCAGTTTCAGTTGGAGTCGCAATACTTGAGCTCTCCAGAGTGTTCCTTCCAACTGTTGTTCTGAAAATGTTGCGTGTGGTTTCAAAAACGGAACTGCAGGAATTGGAGAGAGAGAAACTGGAGGTGAGGAGATCCCAGTCATAGAAAACCGGACACACGAATATATCCCCTCCACGTCTCAACCTCAAAACTCGTCACAATTGTCCACTAGTATGTTTTGATAGTTCCACTGTTATTTAAGTGCCAATTTTGTAACCGCAGATTAATTCTTTTGTGTAATGGGCTTCGAGAGTTTGTAAAGTAAACAGTTACTGTAGTGGCAAAATGCAAGTTCTGGCTATACAAACACCCCAAATTTTAATTGCAACAAGAAAAGGGGACAAGAAATTGCTTCCACCCTTTTTTGCGTTGAATAATTTGTTTCCCTCTAGTTCTTTTGTTCCAAAAGGTATTACATCATCTTCATGTTCATGTAAGTGCTCCATTAGACTGGAAATTTGATAAAGATTGAATTTGTTGCGTTTTACTGCTCTTTAATTTGTGTGTCTTAAACTTACCTTTTAATTTTCAAATTGGGATGGATTCTTGAGTATATCTGAAATTGGATCATTTATTTAAATTGAACGTATTGTGATATGGGCAACATTGGGATAACTTCCTTTCCTTGTTGTATGATGAACTGGAAAAAGATTACATTGACATTATGTATTGTACAAGTACAAAAGGCATTCTTTTGGATTTATTTGTGTCCGGTATGCCAAGAGATTTGGGTTCGGTTTTGCATAGGTGGGATTGTTGATTGAAAGAATTTAACTGACATAAACGCCTGGAGTCCTATTTATTATTAGAAGTTATCTTGTATAGCAGTCTATTTGCCTTCTAGATACCATAGTTAAATTCATTTTTACTAAAAGACAGGAAACTAGATGAATCTCTCTCTCTCAGTATTTGAAATGGCTTTTAGATTGACCGCTGATCTTATGGTTTTGATTCTATTGTTCTTTTGACTTCCATGTGCTTTCTCTTGGATTATTCTGAATGGAGCTTCCATGCTCTGCATAACTTATCCTTGTTTCTGTTTCTTGCTAACCCAAAATTGATGGGGAAAAGTCTTAGTTTGTTGTTGTATTGTAGTATTGAGTGATAATTTCTTTGTTCAGTACAATGTAGCGAGTCACCATGGATGCATGCGGGGCACAGAGCTGTCAAAAGAAATGCATTGAATGTTGGTACAGGATCCAGTGACTATGAAGGGAGACAGGAAAATGACAACCAAAATTTCTCTGTCAGCGGAACACCTAATGATATTTCATCTCAAAGGCAGGTTTCCTTTTTTTTTCATGCAATTTGAAATTACAAATGATTTTGAAATTGAATTATTGTTTGACAATGTGATTTAGACTCAGATAGCATACATGTTTCAGGTAAATTATATTCATCGGGCTTTTATCGTTTCAATTATTCCTTCGCTAAAATTGGGCTACTATGTACTAATGTTGGACCGAGAAGAAAAAATCTACCGATGTTTCCTTTTTTCTTGATATCTTGTGCCAATCATTTCTTGGGAACCAAAAACCTATATTGTAGGCATTTGACTTAATTTCTTTCATTCAGATAAGATATAATTATCACGCTATTATTCACCGAGAAAAAATATTAGACCACTATGATTTCATTTCTTATGGAGCATATTTGGCTAAGCTCAAAAGTTATTTTTCCTGAAAATACTTTCTTGATAATTAAGTTCATTTTAATAAGAAGAAGTAACTTCTAAAATTTTGTTCAGCACAAAAAAGCTTAAAAGTAACTTTCACTTCTTTTTAAGCTTTACCAAACATGCTCCCATCCTATTTTGCTTCTAATTTCTTGGCATGTGAATGGACACCTAGTTATTTTATGTATCTGATAATGCCACTTCTGGTGTCATGGACCAAGGAGAAGCTCTCTTACATGTCAGTCCAAGACTTAATGTTTAATATCTTTATTGAATGGCAGTGAGAAGCCTCCTAATCGAATTCCGTATCTCCTCTCTATAGCTCTTGCGCTATGTGGATGTGCTTTAGTATTTTCACTCATTGCTTTCATGAAAAGACCTTCATCACTCTTAGCAGCAATTGCCAAGTCAGGTTTCACGGCTGCATTCTCCTTGATATTTGTTTCCGAGATTGGGGACAAGGTAATATGTCTTATAGAGACAAGATTTCTATTTTGTTTTTGTCCCACATATATAAGAGCATGTTTGTACAAGCTTAAAAAGTTTACTTAATTTAGCCAATCTTAAAAAGTTTAGTTAGAGGTTGTTTGAAAAAGCTTTTGCTAAAAGTTTTAGCAGATAAGTTGACGTAATGTGTTTGAAGAGTCGATGAAAGTTGTGGGTCCATGAAATGTGTTGTTAAATTGGAGTTTGACGAGTTGAAAAGTTACAAAACTTTTAGCAAAAAGTTATCTAGCAATCACTTCTTTACTTACATGTAAATAAGAAACTTTCAAAATAAATAGTTTTATCTGATAGTCAAAGTTGGAAATAAGGAAGTCAAATTGATTTGACTATAAGGAAGAGCTAGTTTCAAAAGAAGTCTATGATTTGTACTTCGAAACTTTAGTTAGCTAAATTTGGCTCTACTTTTATTTGTTATTCTTTCTTGTTGCCATTCTAATTTTCTAATTGTAGTTGACAAAAGTTGTAGCAAATTGCAAAATTGGTCTTTTTCAATTTTCTCTCCCATTGCCAACTAAAATTCTTAGTTAAGGTTTTGATACAAGAAAGCCCGAGACTCTTTTTTTGAGCCAAAGATGTTTTTAAGCTGCCTTAGAACCTAATATCCTTATGCTCACAAATGTATAGTCATAGTAAAAATATACTTGCACAAATGATATACACAAAATGCCAACAAAAAGGTTGCTTGAAAACTAGCACTTCTATTTTATTATAGTAGCGGGTGATTTAGTTAAATTTCTGTGTCTCAAGTACCCTAATTCTGGTTCTATATACCACCAAATAAATAGATAAATCTTTGACAGAATTTTCAAATATCAGTATTTGTCTCATCTTTTTTCTTTTTATTGTCTTCTTATTGACCCAATTTTCTTTAGATTGCCTTATAGATCACTCCTATTGTGAAACTTTATATGCATGGAACCTTATTCTTTTAATGCTCATCGTGACAGACATTTTTCATTGCTGCACTGTTGGCCATGCAATATGAGAAACTACTGGTATAATTATTCTCCACTCTTCGTTGCCCTTCCCCTCCCTTGTTCCCTTTATCTCTCTCTGGTATATGCCTAATAATTCCATGCAATCACCAAACAATATTGTTCACGGTGAAGGTTTTTCCAGCATTATATTGGTATGTTAGGTAAGGTGGATTGGACGGGACATTATTAAAGAAGAAAAATGAGCCCCTGTTTGGGCTCCATTAAAATCAGTTTTTTGGGAAAGATGTATTTTGTAATAGTGATTTTTTGGAGAACGTGTGGTTATAAAAAAGGAAAGTTTTGGGTTTACGTGTATTATGAGAAAATGTGTAATTGAAAATGCATTTTGAAAAAATGGAGCCTAAAGTAAATGTGGTTGAAATTAATGTTTGATTTTGACTTTAAATTATAATGAAATTACAATTTTTTCCAAACATGCACTAAGTTGTGATCAGTTTTATAAATTGATTGTATTTTTCATATATGCTATGCTTTTTACAAGTTTCAATTGATACTTTAATATTTTAAATTCAGTTCTGATAATATTTACAAATAATGTGGAATAACTGTGTATTCAACGTTTTTCATTCATTATATACCGTATATACACATTAACCTTCATGTATGGATTTATATTTAGTTGTGCTGATAGGGAGGAAGTATTGTTTCATGTTGCCTAGAAGCGAAATTTATTTGCATTAATGCGATCCTAACAAATTCACTGCAATTTATTGTAATTAGGTCCTTCTGGGATCAATGGGAGCACTATCACTAATGACTGTCCTGTCTGTTGTTATTGGACGAATATTTCATTCAGTACCTGCTCAATTTCAAACAAGTGAGTTCTGAGTTTCATTTTTTTTTTCTCAACATACATGATTTTATTATAGAGTGCAAGTACACATACCATGTGATGAAAACTTTTCCCTTCTGTAAATGAGATAGTCCCACCTAAAGAAAGAAATTAATTAGTTGATAATGAACATATATGTTGTAGGATATAATGACAGAGTGATTGACTTCAAAATTGCCCCATTTTGTGACACATCTGAATTTCTGATTGCCCTTTTCATATAAATGCAGCCTTACCAATCGGAGAATATGCTGCAATAGCACTCTTGATGTTCTTTGGCCTCAAATCAATTAAAGATGCATGGGACCTTCCATCCACTGTAGCTAAAACTGGTGACCAAGGTAGCAATGAATTTGTTGAAGCCGAGGAGCTTGTGAAAGAAAATGTAAGCCTTTCTCATGGGATTATGTTCCTATGCAGAAGTTCAGTATTCCAGATTGCCTATTTCTTGAGTTTGATTTTTCAACATCACCTCCCCTACCCCAACAAAAGGAAAAAGAGAGAAGAAAAATAAAATGTTTTTCCACAATTCTGTTTTAACAATTTCTGTCAGTGATGGTTTCAGGTATCAAAGCGGCTGTCAAATCCCCTTGAAGTTTTGTGGAAGTCGTTCAGCCTTGTAGTGAGCATTTTCACCTTATTTTGTCTCTTCCTTTTTAAATTTAAAAGAGAATGCAAAATCCATTTTACCAGTTGACCTAAAGAATAGTTAGCCTTGCAAGTATTTCATGAATATGAGCTTCTCTTTTCATTTAATCATTTTTTGCTGTGAGGTGGCAACATTATCCATCTCCTTTCTTTCTTTCTTGGTGTGTTTGGTTTGGTTGTACACAAATACAATTAATGGTTATGGAATTAAGCTAGAGATCAAACTATCTCAGTGTCATTTCAAGTTTCCTACTAATTCTCAAATATTTAATCAGCCGCCTCATCGTATTCTATTTGCAGAACTGTTAGGTATTATTGTATGTGAATCTCACACGACTAGTTTTAAGTGCAAAAGGTGAAAACTGATCTATTTATCTACCAATGAGATAGATTAGTACTAACAACAAATAGAAAGGAAGATAAAATGCAATGAGGGACTGGACACTGGAGCGTGAAGTTGGAGAAGTAGGTGATGTCTGTCGATCCTCTTTTCATCAGCCCACAATTTGAGGCATACTTCATGGCCTTTTTGGCACCGTATCCTTTGTCTAATACTACATTCGTGTGATCAAATTGCTAACCTATTTCAGCACAAGTTTTTGAGGTTTAGATTTTCTGAAATGCATGAGTTGATTGCTCCATGCTACTTTTGCTTTTAGGAATGGGGAGATCGCTCAATGCTTGCAACGATTGCTCTAGGCGCAGCACAGGTATATAATCTTTACGAGTTATAGCCATATTTCATTCTATGCTTCCGTGTCTCAAATTCTTGCTACAGTCTCCATGGGGAGTCGCAAGTGGAGCCATCGTCGGACACCTGCTTGCAACATCTTTTGCAATTCTTGGAGGCGCATTTCTTGCGAATTACATTTCTGAAAAACTGGTAAAACGTCAGACTAAATAAATTTTCTGTGTTTTTTTTTTTCACTATGCATACCTCTCATCTTTGGTTTTGAATCAGGTTGGATACTTGGGTGGTGCTTTATTTTTAGGATTTGCCGTTGCCACATTTTTTGGAGTCTTTTAGCCTAGTGTTAGAAATCCAGGAATCGAAGAGACGAAATCTTTTTGGCGTGATGAAGGAATCCCAGACACCATTCGGGCACTCGAGAAATAAGAAAAAGAGGCTTAAGATGTGCTACTGATAAGGGTTTGTGGATGTTTTGCTTATTCTCTGGTAAGCTTAGGATGGGAGCTGAGCCAAAATACTGTTGTATCAGTGCTAAACTACAAAAATTTATCCAGAAACAAGGTAGTCAGTATAATCTTAGGATGTTTTGCTTATTCTCTTTCGTTTTCAACAGCAAAATCGCATGAATAATCGTAAGCAGAGTTCTCACAAAATAATCAAGCATCTCCACCCCATTCTCTTTCAATTTGGCATCAAAATAATCCACTGTTTCGCATTCGCTGAAGCCCTCGAAATCCTCTCGAAAACCATCTTCTCCCTTCGCTTCACAATGGCGACAAGACACTGGCAAACTCATCTTAGAGGGTTTTCTGCCTTTCGAACTAACTCACGGCTTAGAGCGAGAGGATGGTGAAGATAGACTGAAAGCACAAACTAACTCACTGCTTAGAGGGTTTTCTGCCTTTCGAAAAAAGCCGATCTTTTTTCTTCTTCTTCTTCTTCTTCTTCGTAATGGGCCGTCGCCGGAAGTGTGGCTCAGGTGGAAAATGGTCGAAGGTGGAGAGGTTGGCTGGGCGGGGCATTTTCCTCCAATCGCCTTTTTTTTTTTCATTAACACGCAAGCAATTAAGCCCCGTTTGGGCCCAATTAAATTAAATTTCATTATATTAATTTTTCTCTTTTCAAGCACACATTCATTAAATAAAATAATATTAAACACAAATTTAAAACTTTTGAACCACATATTTTCTCATCAATCACTATTCTAAAAATTTCAACCTCCAAAAATGGGGGCCAAACAGGGGCTAATATTTCCCTTGTAAACCACATGGCAAACTAGCTGGAAATGATGCATTTGCCCTCTCTAATTTATCCATTTCCCTTTGTCTTACTGGTATTTAACGGCAAATATGACGGATCTTTGAGGGCATGGAGTTTTTCATACAAAATATTTGAAACATGGGAATTTCTGCGATTTTCAATAGACAGTGAATATTTTGTAGGCCATCTTCATCCGTTTGTATCAACAACTTTCACGCCAAATTAGTACATTTTTTATATCATTTTACAATGTCATCTTCAATCATTATATCAAATATTACATGAATTAAGCTATAGGTACATAATGGTACCCATAATGTTTCACACAATAGCCACATGGCCACCAACAATTGGGGGGTGCTTGGGCCCACACGGGCACCTCCCAATTGTTGGTGGCCATGATGTTAAACATTATGGGTACCATTATGTACCCATATCAAAACTCATATTACATTATGTTTCCTTTATTTTCTTTTTTATATATATATTTTTTTCAACAATTAATTTATTTTTGAAATTATTTAATTAAAAACTATATTATCATTAAAATTATTAAATTAAAAATTGATATTTAAAAAAAAAACGTTACACTTAATACCACAATTTGAAAAAAAAAACATTTAACGTGCAACAAAAAAAATTACATATAATAGAAATGAGTAATCTTATTTTAACGTAATCAATAATTATTATTTATTAGCATTTACAAATAAATGCTAATTAAAAATAATAATAAAATTAAATCATTAAACAATAAAAAGAATTAAAATTTGTCGTAATATAAAATAAATGGCAATATAAAACTTCAAAAATTACACCAAATAAATTACGTGTAACATTATTCAATGCACCAAATCGGTGTGGTGTTTTAGCATACCATTGGAGTGAACTTTTGCACCAAATTAATGTTTTTATACCAATTTGGTGCAAGATTGAAGATGCTCTTAGTGTCCTTTAAACTCTACATCAAACAACCGAAATGATGCCTATTGAAAGCCAAAATCACTTATTACAAGACAACATAGACATGTTTGGAAAAAAAAAAGTTTATTGGAGAGAATTATAAAATAGAATGAGCACTACAGAGATGCCAATAATGACTGGAAATGCTGTAACCAGGTATAAAGCTCCATATCCCTGCGTTCAACAAATGCCAATCAGTTTGAATTCCAACAATGGCATCACTATATATCTCTACTGCCATTTATGTTACTATAAACCTAATGTTTCCTCTATACAGTAACACAAGTAGAGTGGGGCACGCAAGGCATTGCTACAGTACATCATCATCCTCCATAGCACGAGAATATAAATTTTTTAGTTATACTCTATCCTTTTGTTTACGTAAGAAAAAGAATAGAGTGGATAAAAATGTCAACACAATAACGTTCTTGCTCGCACTAAATCAATTTCACGCATTAATATCAAGAGGAGGAAAAACCAACCACCGCCGATGGCACTTCCACTTCATCTGCCTCAGCATCCTCAATCTCAGCAGCTGAATCCCAATCAATATTCAGTCTCTTGGCAGCCTCTCGTGGATCAATACCTGTGTCTGTGACTTTTGCATATAAAGATTTTCCAGGCCGTTTCTTCTTTGGTGTTATTTCAACCTATCAAAAAATTACGAAAAGGAAAGAGAACATGTATTTTGATGAGATCCATTACACATCCGGGAGGTTATAGTTGATCGTAAGGCAACATAGGAGAAAACCAGAATGCATGAAGTAGCTGCTAAAGAGGACAAAGAGAAAGGTCTCGTGTCGTGAAAATGATATCTGTAGGTCAATATGGGGATAGTAGCCTCTATTTGATTCCCATTATTTCATAACTCATTTTCCCTCAAAACTCATTTTCAATCGCACATCTCAAAATAAAATATTTTGCACGTAAATCCAAAACTTGTTCCTACTTTTTAACTACATATTCTCCAACAATTCACTGTTACAGAACTCATTTTAATGAAATAATGGGCATCAAAGAGGGGCTAAATATCTGTGTTGCTGGAGAAATAAAGAGAGTAATACAGTCAAGATACATAGGATTTTTGCACAATGAAACTGAAAAAGGAGGGAAGCAAGGCAAGGATCTTGAAATTCGGATTTGAATGATGCATATTTTATTGATGTATCCATTGCCAGGCATATTCTGACCTTGGTCGCATTTGGATAAAAATATGATTCTTCTGATGAATCCTCATAATAAACAACTCAAAACGACAAGAATCTAATATATGAACATGATTTATCCAAACACCTAATATGCATGTCACATGTAGGAAAGGCAGATGAGATGGTGGCGATCACCTTGTATTCAACAAAGAATAAGTTCATGAACTTAGTTCTGTTGACAAGCAATCATATATTTATGTACAGAAAATATCACATGTACGCATATTAGTGGTGTTGCAAGCTCAGCCACAGTTAAAGAACTTTACGAGGGAAATTTCATGAACAGGTTTCTCCTGTAATCCCCCGCTCATATAAGCATTTCTTGACAAGAAGAAATAGTTAGTATTAAAAAAAAAAGGGTTTATCCCCTTGTACCGAATAGTCGGCTCGTGGTCCCCACCTTTTGGTGTGAGGTGGGTTTAAAAGATTAGGTAAAATATGATGTACATGTAGTAGTATAACCCAAAAAAAAAAGACTTGCGGTTGTGGGGCATAGACCTTAACCACAGTGATATTACATTGGGGTCATCTTTACAACTTCACAACCAGTAGTCATTTATAATTATCAAGTGCTGACAGTCAGAATAGTACCTTTAAACTAGGCCATTGCGTAATTTCTTCAGCCAGCATCTGCAAAGCTACACGATCTTTTGGAATTTTACCTTCATTTACCTATGAAAAAGGAAACCTGTGAAACATAAACTTATCCAAAACCTGGTCAAAAAAATATAAATGGACGTGCATGCTTGGAAAGTTGGATGATAAGAACAGCCCGTCATTCCCAATAAGCAGGTATCACCTGCTGTGATTGCAGATCGTGTCACACTGCAAAGTTCATTTCGGTTGGATTTATGATTTTGTCATGTAGACTAACTAGTAACATATCTTTCTTATGCTAAGAGTCCTAAAGACTAATACATGAACTTTTGAGCAGACATAAAGAATGATTTGTACAACACTGTATTTTGTGTTTAACAAGGCAAAACTGTGTCTAAATGCCGGTATGCCTGTCCTTCAATTCAAATTTTATATAGGCCTATGACAATTATAATACCAAAGCTGCACAAAGAGCACTCCATTTTAGAAAAACATGAAGGCTAGTACACTAGAGAGTGCGTAAAGATGTGAGTTACTTCTACTAAAACAGCGGCCAATTCATCCTAGTAGGAGCATCTTCGTCATCAATGCCAAGCAAACGCCTCCGCTCAACGTCCCTGGGGTCTTCAATCGATACAGTTAACTTAACCTACAAACAAACATAGAATTTTTTCCATTGTTTGTCAAATTAAAACTCCACCTCAGAGTCATAATACATAATGACATATTGTAAACTGATAGTGCAGGCAAGAGTTCAAAATTGAAAACATGAATTTCAATTCCTATAGATACCTCATTGAAGAGCATGTCTCTATTTTTCCTTAGAAGCTCCAAAACCTGGATGAAAAAGTTTGTTTAGTGAATTTCCTGAATAAACTATTATGAAGAACATAAAACAGTTAGTGGTAAAATGAGTTGGGATTCAAGTGAAGAATGTTACTGACTCTTTTGATTTGGGAGACATATTCAAGGTCCTGAAGATCTGGGTCACTGTCTGCTCCTTGTGGTAATGGAGTGGAACTAGTGACGCTCATTTCGGTGCCAGTGTCTTCCTTATTCACAAATACGCGGCCTCCAATCCTCCGCCTCGTCCTCTGACGTTGTGGTTGTTCATGGTGGTGGTGGTAGTAGTCTATCGACGGCATGTGAAACAAAGGCAGGCGGAGGCTTCGGTGGCGGGATACTGAACCCATCGCCACTGTGGGCGATTGCAGCAGTAAGGAACCCATCACATCCCAATGCTTGTAATTTGGCTTACTTTTGCAAGAAAAAGATGAAATCTTAGTTTAATTTTGTGAGTTTCGCTTACAATTGCAATCAAACTGCTTAAGTTCAAGAATCTGCCTGTTGCCCAAGAAGAAATAGCAGGACCGTGAATTCGTGGCTGTTACAAACGGAAAGGATAATTTGCAGCTAAGGTCCCCAAACTGTTATTAGTGGAGCATTTCACACACACCCTCCAACTTTTTATTCAATTGTACCAAGATCCCACTAGACATACATGGACGAAAAATTAGTTAAATTTACATTTATATGTTGTGAAATATATTATACGTATTTAAGGTTCATTATTTAAAATGATAATTTTAAGAATGAGACATTATCCTTCCAACGTAACTGTCCTATGGGCCTAATGATAATATTTATCGACAAGTCAATTTGTATAAATTATCCTCATTGTACGTATTCTACTTGAGCAATTATGTTTTGAAATCCAAAAAAAAAAAATACTTAATGATTTATAATGATATATATATATGGTAATTCAAATTGAATAATGACAACAATCGAGAGTAAATAAGTAATTTGTCATGTGATCGAATTTATCGCACGAAAAATGTAAAGGTAGAGACTGCAGAGGAATTTGAGGTGACACAATTTGGAGCCCCATAATTTCAAATACTTCTGCTCTCTCAGCTTTATGCACAGACTGCATAAGTGGGAAGCTACACTCGGTTGGGACAGTTTTAAGTTATGAACAGAATCCTCCTCAAGAACAAAAACGTTGCAGGAAGAATGTAATGGTTACCACCAGATAAATGTTCTCATGAAGCCCGGTATTTATCCTTTACGGCTAAGGCTGCTGCTTTGTACCATGAAGCCGCAGCCATGGCACCCGGGTCAGGAACTGGTGCAAGAATATCAGTTGAGACGTGAAGAACGGCCAGCCTACAAAATCCAAAATTTAGTCCAATACAGAATGCATGTTTGGCTAAGCTTGACAATGATAAAAGTTACGTAGTTTCCAAACATGTTTGGATGTTACTTTTTTGGTAGGAACTCTTACTTTAGCTTCAAAAGAAGCAACTTACTTTTCAACTTTAATCAATAAAAAAAGATTATTAGACGAACATGCTTGAAACAGCAAAAAAAAAGCCAGAAAAGGTTTCTGAGTGCTACCTGTCCAAGCTTGTCTTTAGTTGATTCAGCACCAGACACTGCTGCTTCAGCAGAAAGAACAAATGCTCCTATGTGATAATCTCCAGCAGTCAATTTCTGTTCATGAAGCTTAGAATATGTTTACAAAGCTTGGATCCAAATAAATATCAAATGTCAACACATGGTAAATGGTATCATTATTTTTAACCTCTTTGAGAACTAACGATGCTGGAAAAAGAGCATCCAATAATGTACGATAACCAGCACTAGCTCCACCGTATTTGCTGATTGCAGCTTCAAATGCAACAGCCCCTATATCAAGAAGGATTTAATTACCTTAGTTCCTTCCTGTAGGAAAAATAATAAGCAAATTGACCGGGTCCAAGCTCACACCACCAATCCCAAGTGAGGTTTCAACCCAAAACCAATTGGCAATAGATGGAGTAGCCCACTTGGGTTATATGGTGGATTTCTTTTCTTCTCCCAACCGATGTAGGACTTCTTGTTTGCTCCCAACAATCCTCCCCTCAAACGAATGACCACATCATTGTGGCCTTCCCTCAAACGATAATCCATTTCCCAATCATCTTGTACCGCCATTATTACCGTCTGTTGAGTTTAGAGGCCCAAAATAAAAGTTTATTAATGAAACGGATTTTACAATTTTGGATACACACTAGACAAGAACTACCAAATGGCACTATCTAATATTACATAAATATTTTCTCTCTCCAGCACACTCTCTCACTACACTCTTTCTTCACTTGCACACTCTATCTAACACACATGCACTCTCTCTAACACTCTCTTCCACTACACTCAAATACACAGCTGCATACATATATATAGGTAGCATAGTAGGTGGTCTCCTCCTCTCCATAATTCTAGATAATTCTTCAATGGAAGTGGAAGCTGGAAAGCTTTAGAATGAAGTTGGTTCCTGCTCCTCCTTGATTCTTCTAGTATATTGGCTGCTATGGAATTCTCTAGAAAGTTGGTGATGATTCTTCAATTCTCCCCTTCAACACCAACTTTTCATTTTGACTCTTTTCTTCTTCTTCACGTCCAACTTTGCCTCGATAAATTTTGAAGTGCTTGATTCTTCATTTAAAGCATCCGCTCCTTTAAATATATTTGGCTCTTCCATGTTTTCATCTTCATCAATTTTGATACTCAATTTCTCATGTCTACTCAATTTCCTTATTTGTGGTTGTAA